TACACTGCACACGTGTCTCTTATGGTTTTAATTGACTTTTTGAACAAAACAATTCCAGGGGGGGGCAAAAAACAGCCAGGGGGGGGCAAAAAATTTTTTTTCGCGCTTCGCGCGAAATCTTGCCCCCCCTGGCTAAAATCCTGTGTACGCGCCTGAGTATGCCCAACATTAACTATCATTTTAATGTTTGAAAATTAGAAAATAATGAACGGTTTAGCGGGGTTTGAGGATGTTTCGAGTCACAACGGTACCCTTGAAAGTTTTATCTGATCAAAATGAGTATGAGTATTTTCAATTGCGGTTTCTCTATAAATGCCGAAATCTTGCTACAGAAACATGAATGAAATATTGAAAATTAAACACTTAAGCTAAAAAAACGAATTCTTCAAATTTGTGATCACATAAAGGTTTAAAGGACTGTTGTGAATTGTCTCTCTTTAAATGGAGGTTTACTTGATATAAGAATATCCGTCCCTGACTCTTTTTTATAAATTGCGACCACTCCCTTTATTTCAAGAATTTACCTTACACTAGTAGGAGTAGAGGAGGGGGTGGGTAGTTCACCTCTACCTAAGTTCTCCTTATTATCTCCTAAAAATGATAATTCAATTATCTATCTATATCATAAAACAAGACATTCATATATATATGTTGCGGATAGCCGGTCAAATGGTTGGACCGAATGGGCTGAATTTTTTTGTGGACACTCATGGGTGGCCGGGGATTTAACAGGTAAAAAAAATTATTTTTTTTTTCAACATTTTTTTTCCCACGGGCAATAACGGGCTTTTCAGCTAGTAATCTCCTAAAAATATTAATAAAATTGCAATCTCCTAAAATTATCAATTTAATTACTATCTTTTAAAAATATTTATTTAATTAGTATTTCCTAAAAATATTAATTAAATTATAATTTCCTAAAAACGATAAATTAGTTATGATTTCCAAAAATAATGACTAAAAATAATTTCTCTGTTTTGATGAAAAATTAGATGATTCTTCAGGAAATTTTCTATTTTCCGACCGGACATTTCATTTGTCTCAAACTGTTCTTAATTGTAGAAAAACAT